GCTGTTGAAATGTGAATCGTGTATAGCATTGCTATGAGATGCCAGAACACACCACGCATATATCAAGTATATCACAAAACGCTTCACACCAGACATCTAAAAAGAAAGCGATAACGCTTCCTACTTAAGAGAAATGAACGAATTCCTTGATACACTATATCAGTTTATTCGGTCTCGCTTGTCTTATCAATGGATTGAGTGTTTTCCTGCTATTATTTCGGATTTTTTATAATACCTTTTTTGACCGAACTGTAGCTAAACAGAATTTATAAACATTGTTTAATTCCTAACAATGACTTAATTATTTCTCTAATAAATAAGCTATTTTCTTCTTGCACATGACTGAGTGAAAGCAGACCATTCTGATATATCCCTCCATTTTCATGCATCGCCTCCTTGCTGGCTACCCGGCCACACGAAATGCGATCAAATAAACTTAGGTATGCATGGTTGTATAAATTGAAGACAACGTACCTTAACTCAATTTGACCTGGTTACTCATTTTAAAACATTTTGTTACGAACTAAAATACACAGCTTATTGACATAATACAAAGTATGCATCTTTCCCCTGTTGTATAACAATATTTTTCTGTTAAATCATCATGGTAACTTTTACATCAACAATGGGCACACGAGGTTCATTTATGAATTAATGTGACTTGAATGTTAACGTGACATTTGCAATAAATCAATACCTCAATGAATGGTCATGCTCAGTAACTTATCGACGCCAACAGGTAAATAGTTGAAACTTTTTTGTAATGGAACCTGTGCCATTTCGACCAATGATCATTATTTTAATAGAAAGAATCCATTCAATCAGAAGTGAAAACATTTGTAAATAAAGCAGTTGTACTTCAAACATTACTCTTCTTGAGAGGAGGTAGGAAATTTGCTTATAATTAGAGCACAAAAATCATTATATTAGGTGTTTTACTACCATAGGATGAAATCAACAATCCCACAAGAGAACTTAATTCATTACTATTCGTTAATCTCGGTACGTGAGAATATCTACGAACATTCGCCTCATATTCCGACATTCATACCTACAAACTTTCAACTATCCAACGTCAGGTTTCTTTCTCATCTTTGGCTAATCAGTTGGTCTTCCAACTAAATAAAGAGGGTAGTAACGAGGTTAAAACAAGCAACAGTGAAGTACAGATATATCGGATTCACGTATCAACCGGGTTACGTAGAAGGGACATTGTATTCCATCTGAATACAGGGTCAATTGGCGGAGGATCGTAAAGTACAATAGAATCCGAAAATTGCCGCAATAAAGCGAGATGATAAGCGGATCTGAAACAAAGGAGGGAGTTGAAAATCATCGTAATATTCATTTACACGTTCTCCCTACTAGGATGATATGATCCTCTCCTTATTCCGAGCCTACCACATCGGTCACACAAAAGCGGGCATAGAATCGATCCGCTGCCTACCCCTCCCCGCCCTGGCTCACCATAAAATGATCATCAACCGATAGATGCAGGAATATGTCGATTAAATCCCTTGCAAATCGAAAGGAGTATAAGTTGTTCTTTATAAACCGTTGATTTCAGCGAACGCACAATGTTATTGATTAATTCAGCTGTGGAGATGAAAACTGTTTCATCACACACTGGGTCGCAATAAAACGCAAAGTCAAAAGAAA